TATATATATATATATATACAGTATATATATTATATATATATTCCACCCTTCCTTTGAATATTTTGGTGAATGAGAAAGTAAACTGAAACACCTCTGCATCATAATTTATTCAGTACTATAGATTACGAGCATTGGTTTATTCATGCTTAAATCCAATTCAAGCTTACTTTCAGTAACAAACAAAAAAAAAAGGAAGGATTAAATGGAAAAAATACTGTATTGCATCTGTGTGTCTTGATGCTTGGTCAAATAAAGACAGAGTTCTGTTTGCCATTTGGCAAGGTTTATGAACTAGGGTGAATCAAATAGTGATCAAAGGCCTACAAAACTACTGCCGACTCCCTCCTGTCCTGGTCCAGCCTAGGTATTTGGTCATGGGATCTTTGCAGAAGGCAGGATCTGCTAATCTGAACTCTGATCCTTCCATTCAGAAGAGAGCACATGACCCAATGCCTAGGCTTTTAGTCACACGACCAGAAGAAGCAGAAGTAGGGTTTTCTTTAGGAAAGGTAACTTTTTCAGTGGGGGACTACTTACATTTTTTTTTCACAGAAATTTAAAGTCAAAGTCAAACAGCTTCATGATGTAATAATCCTTTACTGCTTACACTTAGATTTAATGTCCAATAAAATGAAAATAATAGGATTTTTGTACTCACTGATCAATCCTTTTCTTGGAGTCCATTGGGACATACAAGACATCTTTCACATTTCGAGTTATACTGCTAACTACATGGTGATTGGCCAGCCCGGGATAACCCCTTCTACCACCAGCATGTTTGTAGGAAGCAGTACTGACAGCATAATCATAAACAGAGGGGTGGGACCTGTGTCCTTTAATGGACTGCATGAAATGGATTTTATGGTGTCACAAAAATCCTATTTTCTTTCCCATCTATTGAGGCACACAAATAACTTTGAGCATAGAATGTCTATGCTCACAGTTCCACAGCATCAATAACTTCCCTGGTAAAAAACCCTTGGGAGATTTTAAAGGTGCCCAGCGACCCAAGTAATGGAGATATCCCTCGGTGTTCAGCCCCATTGGCCCATTGAGTAGCCTTCAGAGACAGAACAAGTGCTGAGGCAACGCAAGTTGCTCTGGTCCAGGTAAGCGTTCCTTGACTAACTTGTTACCAAAATGGGGTCTGGAAAGGTCACTTCCAGGCTGTCCACTCAACATCAAGTTCAGTAGGGTCTATACACAGTGCTGCAAAAGCCAGGCTGAAGGATGCCCTTGCCAGATAACTTTAAATCAAAGAAACCAGCTCTAGCAGCAACGTAATGAAAAGTCTTGCTTGAAGAAAAATGTTGGGGAAAAAAAAAGTGCTAGCAAAAATCAGATTAGTTTTTTTACACAGAATATGAAGAAAAGTATGAAGTATACACTCAAGAGATATATGAATGTATTAGAGCTGCCAAATAAAATAAGTTCTATATCAAGCTTATTTTTAGAATTATACAACAATGATACTATACTACACTGGCACATTCACAATTATCCTATTCTCCACTGGCACATTTGCTTACAGGAATCATTGAGACCCTCACTGCATTTTGCACGACCATCTTCCTCTGGCTCCTGGCTTTGTGAAACCTTATCCAAGACAGTGCGTAACCGAAGCATATCCAGTTCCCCATGAGGAGATGAAAAGCTGCGGCCAAACATTGTTGCCTGAATCAAGGCTTTCCTTCTGACCAGCTCCTCTGAACTCTGGGTGACTGATGCCTGGTAGAAATAGTGGAAAAGACAGGAAAGTGTAATTTCAGGGTAGAAATGATCTGTTGATAATAAAGCAGGGAGAAATTAACAGGTTGTGGACACATACCCAAAAACACTTAATTGAAGTACATAAGATCTGTATGTAGTATTCAATGTCCTTTCACCCTGATGCGCCACCCCTCCCCCCCAAAAAAAATAAAAAAAAATTGCCAGCAATCCCAGACTGTCGAAATGATGGAGTTGCTGTTGCTGTGCAAATACAGCAGCTGTAATAGCTGCTGCTGTCAAAAAAATACTTTCTAAAATAGAGTTTTTTAAAACTCTGTTCAAACTCAAAATAGAGAGCTACAAACTGATATTTTGCATCTGCTCAGTTATATTCATTTGAAGTTCAAACGAGTGAGCTTTGATCTGATCGCAATAAAAGCAACCTGACAAGTTTTTTGTTTTTTTTTAAATACATTTTTTTGCCATTTACCACGTATTAAGTCTAAAATTTATCAATGTCAGTCTTCACCATCTCCCCTTAAAGGAGAACTATGGGGTCAGGGCTTTTCCCCATAGTTCTCCTTAGGGTAACGGGAGGACACAAACTAGCGTCCTCCCATCACCCTAAGCTCAGTATACCGCGAGCTTGCGGTATACTGAGACGCCGCAGCCGGATCGGATCCCGACATTGATGTCGAGATCCACCCAGCTGCGTGAGTGAGAGCTGGCTCTGCCTATCTAGAGGCAGAGCCACCTGTACGCGCCCCCTCCCCCGTCCGGTCCGCCAGTCAGTGCTGGAGGATGGGAGGGGGGAATCCAGCCCCTCCCCTGCCACGGCAGAGAGCCGTGACAGGATCGAGAGGTGAGCGAACGCCGGTATGTGTTCGCTCACTTCCCGATCTACTGAGCCGACCTGTGACAGTCTCATTGTCACAGGTCGGCTAGAACTATGAGGTGAGTGAAAAGCACTCACCTCATAGTTCTCCTTTAACTATTATTTTCCAGCTGATTTTTCATTCTTTTAACCATTAATACATAAGCATTTTTTCATTTGTATTGCTCATTAATTTCTTTAATCCGGCATTAAAAAAAATAAAAATAGAAAAAAAGCCTTTACTTTTTATTTTGTAAATAACTTTGCAATGCTCTGTACCAGACTTATAATGTTAATGACATTTTGAATGGGACAAATAATAAGATACATTTTATATTTTTTATCTACAGTTACACAACCAAAAATGAAAGTAGAAAAAAAGTTTTTTTTAGTTTTGTTACTTTTTAACTATGGCATAAAAAATAAAATCATTTTTGCAAGACAAAAATCACCATAAACACTTGTTTGTCGTTTGTTATCTTATGTAATGACAAAGTTATTGTCGAATAAACAGGCCCATAGCAAAAATGTAAAAAATTTTCTGGACCATAGCGGGCATACAGGTGTGAGAGCTGCAGTGGTTAATATATGACTAGAGAACATACTTTAAATATGCAAATGAGATTGGTGATCGTTTTACCTTACATGAAGGAGTTGTGTTTTTATTCGATACAGGAACACCTTCACTCTTCGATACAGTCTTCTGCCCTTGCTGGGAGACTTTACCATAACATGGGGTCATACAATCTCCTGAAACAGTATCCCTAGAACCTACAGACTCACTGCTGGTAGAACCATGGCTAGGGGCACGAGTGCGGTCACTGCTGGAGGGCTGAGTCACTGCATGAGTTGGCTCTGTGCTGACGGAGCAGTGAGTAAGGACGTATTGATCCTGCACATACGAGGAGCGTACGATGCGTTTTCTAATGTCACTTACTTGAGCTCCATCTCCACCTAAAGAACAGGATTTGTACATGATGTAATGCTATACAGACAGAAGAACATCATTCAAGTTTTACATTACATATTTAAGCAAAATATGAAGAAGTGCTTTAATCAGGGGCAGAACAAGCCACCAATGGCCTCACAAGATTATGGGCAGTCAGTGACTGCCAGCCTCCAAAGTGCCTATGTAGGCTTCTATGACAGTAGGCAACACTAGTATGCCAGTTTTGCCCCTAGTTGTGGATGACAGCCTTGTATGAAAATATCACATATCAAAACATGCTAATATAAAAGGAATAGAGGAAGATTAGTCTCTATGTGCAATCAGTTTAAAATCTGTATGATAGGCCACAGCTAAAAGTACAGTAAAGGCTCTTGTAGGACAGTCTAAACAAGTACCAAATCCAGTTACCATGTGATGCACAAGACTCAAAGTAAAAGAAAAAAAAAAAAAATCAGGTTTTGGGAGATTAAAGTAGCATTAAAAACTCTCAAACTTTTTTTAATGGTGAATCCAGATCAAACAAATATACATTGCTCGGTAAAGTATATCTTTATATTTTTGCCCAGCACAGTTCCCAGTAGCTGTCCATTTACGAACTTGGGAGAAGGGAGGAGAGGGGAACAGGGGGGAAGGGATTGTCTTGCTTTGCTGTGCTTGTGGAGAACCAGAGCTTACTAGCACACACAAGGGGATGGGGAGGACTCTGCAAGGAAAAGGAGCCACCCTAAGGCTGGGCTTCATAATATGCGCGTTTGACGTGCATTTCGGGCCGCGCGTTTTTAACGCAATTTGTGGTCAACGAAACTCGCGACAGATCTATCACACTATCCTAATGGATACGCGCGGAAAAACGCCCCAAAGCTCCTGTACTTCTTTGGGAGTAGGGCGTTTTTCAGCTCGTTCCGACGCGCTGAAATACGCCCAGGTGGGAACCATGCCCATAGGAAATAATGGGATTTCACTTGCTGGGCGTTTTACAGCGCGTCGATCAGCGCTGTAAAACGCCCAGGTGTGAACCCAGCCTTAAACAGGATATCAGGTCCAGTGTTCAGGGGACCAGCTGATTCTGCAGGGAACTAAAACTTTTAAACATAAAGAAGCAGCATCCATTGTAAGTGATTTAATCAGCATATGAAATAGCTTAAAAATCTTTTGACTTTAATATCAGACTTTCTACCCCTAATTTTTCCAGCAACCTTCCTTAGCTATAAAGGAAAAGTCTTTCCTAAAACCTGAATTCCTTCTGGTCTTTTATTTCTGGTGTTTGTACTACTAAAATGCACGTATGATCCAACAGAAAGGAGTTTGAATGCAGTGAATAAAGCAACAAACATACTGTATATTTTCTCTTGACTGGATTATAATGGTGCATCTCTGTATTGTTGCTTTTTCATTATTTTATCAATTACCTTTTATATTTATGTTTACAAATGATCTGAAGGTCTACAAAAATACCCCTGACATTGACACTAGTGTCACTGGCATGTATATACATACAGAAGCTTTCACTTCTCTCTGGATCTTCACTCCATGCTGAGAACTCCAATGAAATTTCATGTGAAATATCCTGCAGAGCTCGTTCAACATCCTCCACAGCAGCAGCAGACTGGTTCAGGCAACTTGCATCTGTCGTCCCTGAAGTCTGAGACTCTTCCTGAGACTGAAATACAGAACTAAGTGATCCTCCTCTAGTTACCCGTGCCTGAAACATAAAAGGGTAACACCAGAGTCCATGTATGACCAATGAAGTTGATTAAACTTAGCCTATTTTAATTGCCATTATTCTCACCATTCCTTTCTTGCTGCGGAAACTGGCAATATTATATAAAGTGCAGTAGCTAATAAGACAATCACCAGGGTAGATTGGAGCAATCTCATTGGGTGTGAGCAGAGCCTCCATAGTCTCTGGCATATACCAGTCTATCGTAATGTCACTCAGAGCTGGCTCCAGTGCTTTCTTCAATGCATTAATCATCTAGATGGGCAAGAAAATGATCAACTAGTAAACAATATGTCAAATCATATGCAATGCAAAATCTAGAGCAGGGTTCAAAATGGCGAGGAGTGCCATGAACAAGTTCAAATATGCTTCAAGTAAAATTATTATTGAGTTCTGGCTGGACAGTTTGTAGGGCAACTTACATTGCAGTTATACTTAAAATGTATGCAAGGGCAACATTTTTTGTTTTACTTTTGGACAGAGTGGAGAAGTGTGTCAACCTCTGTCAAGTTTATTGCCAATGGTGTCTCTGCTAGGGGGATTCACCCCTCTACTTGTCCCGGCTACCATTGTTGCCGAGACACAAAGTGAAGTGAAATGCAAAATTAGAGCTATCACCAGAACAAGAGGTGAGGGGAAAACTTCCAAAGTGGGCACATGTTCCAGTTAAAGAAGGGAATTCCCCTTGCTGCAGAAATTTACTGTCAATTCCCACATTTCTAAAACAGGAAGTGAACGAAAATTTCCCCAACAGAACACACACAGCTAATCTCTCATCAATCCATGCTACACAGACTCCTATGCCAAGAAAGTCCAATGGGTACTTGACTTATGGTGGTACCATGCAAGTCCAAAGAAAGAAAATAGCCAGCACTTCAGAAATTAGGAAAATGACATTAATGTCGTTTTAAAGAGACCGCAAATGAACAGGAATCATCAGCACTCAGTATAAGATTTCAAATGATAAAGTCCATTTAAATCGGACAGATCGTCATACATGTTGCAATAATTATAACCAACGTTTCGGGGGCCACGTATGGACCCTTCATCAGGGCAACAATGTAACACATGGCGCCATCCGTGAGTATCACTACAAGCACCATTATTGTGATTTTGGCAGGAGACACTGCCAGTAGTGCAGGGGGACATATTGGACTTTAATATCGTTTTAAAGAGACCAACATTTCATGAACACGAGGGATCCCTTTTCAAGGTAGTGTCTACTTTGAAAAAGGGGTCCTTCCTGTACTTGCAACGTTCGTCTCCATGGAACAAAAACTAAATTTTCCCAATTTCTGGAGTGTTGACTATCGTCAATCCTTACCAAACAATAACTTGACAGGGGTTTAAACCTTTCTCTACTCTTTTCAGAACTAGATAAAGCACTTTAAAGAGCAGATATGTTTAAGCAGCAAAGGCTGCGATAGAAGGGTCTACAGAAGGTTTTGTGAATTAGAGAAATATAGTCGAATGTCACTTTTACAGCCTAATACAGTCCTACATACTTCCATGCATCCTTTGCAAAAGGATAAAAGGGTTTGATTTCGCTAATGGAGGTAGGTGGTGCGTAATTGATACAGTAGGTAGGACATAACACCACTGTTCCAAAATACCAACCTTCTGTTGCAGCCCCACTCTAAAGGTCTGTAGGAGATGCAGTGCTCAGAGAAGACTCCAAATAATATCAGTAAGGTAAATATACAGCTTTGCTAAGTAAAAGGAAGATGAACAAGGGTGGAGAAAAGGCAAAGCAACGTTGCAGAGCCAAGTTTTCACAGCAAATAAGTATAGCTGCACACCAGTTACCCTATTAACCGGTCACCAAAATGTACATTAATAGCTTTAGCGTTAATGTCTTTCAATACCAATCATCTACCTGAAATGTGTTCATGAATCAGTTTAATATGACTTACCTTTGGCTGAAGTCTTTTATCCTCACTGACCAGTTCCATTGCTCCCTTTGTTATTCTGCAAGCTTTCTCAAGAAATGTGTGGCATGTGCTTGAACCAAGTCCAAAACCAAACACCCTGCATACACACACAAAATTAAAATAATTCAGTAATTAATGCCACAAATGGACAATTAAATATTTGTTATCACTGCATATCATACCATAGCCACAAACAAAATATGAGATTTTGACTGGGATTTCACCCCAGAAAGGGCTAGAAAGGGGGGGGGCTGCCCCAACTGCCATTGAGCCACTAAAGTTCTTACACATGGGAACCTACATAAGACAATGGAATTGACATTCTTCAGTGCTAGAGACAAGAATTGTAATTGTCAGTGGACACTGTTTAAAGCACCTATTTAGAAGTGTAATTGATTTTACTGGTCTGTGTAGTGCAGTTTATCCTTATAACGGAGTATGCAAGCAGCAAATATATCACCTGAAATATAATGATACACACAGGTCGAATTTCGTCAGGTTCCCGATAAACCAGACGCAATTTGCACAGTGGGTGCTGTCGTCTGCACCCTTCTGCTCGGCCTCCTTCGATTAGCTGATCGAAGGAGAGAGTTGGAAAATTCTCGTCGGACGGAGCTAGCAGCCAATCAGCCACTGTCAGAATACAATGCAAACAGCGAGGGATTGGTCCATCAATACTCGTAAGCAGGGCCGTCTTTAATACTGATTTGACCATGGGAAAACATTTTCTTGGGGCCCCCCACTTCTATACACCCCCTACCCGCCCCAGCCATGCAATTTCACCCATCCATACTCCTATACAACAGGGGCGGAGCAACACTATGCAATACCGATTGCACAGTAAACGGAAGAGTGGCGCGGGTGTATCTTTTGCGGGCTCAAGGGTAGGGCCGGTGCAAGGATTATTGTGTACACAGGTGAAGGTGCATATTTCACCCCCTCTCCCCCGTCACCCTCAGATGACTGTCTCTGCAGCCTTACTCGAGTACTGACTAGCGCGCAGTGTCCCGCCTCATATGTACATGGAAAGCATGTAGTGACCCCATCACATACAGACAAGCACCATAGTGACCCCCATCACATACAGACAAGCAGCATGTAGTGACACCCATAATATACAGACAAGCACTATAGTGACCCCTCTCTCTGGACGTTGAGTGTTCCCTAATTCACACATGCAGCAGTCAGTACAGACACGCAGGGCCTCCCCATCAGACACCCACCGTTCCTGCTGCCCTGATTCAGGCTGTAGTCCCCTCACCCATCCGGCTCCCTCTCCCCTATCCAGGTGAAAAGGCCAGTGACCATCGGGGTCCAGGTTATAGCAAAACCGCCTCCACACACATGGCATGGAAGGGGAGGGCATCCACCCAGCTCTTCTTTCCAGGTGACCCGCTCTGCGATCATTCAGCACTCTGCTGTCAGTGCTGAGATGCAGGGCCAGTGGTAGGAGTATTGCAGTACATGACCTGCTCAAGCGGCAGCTGCTGTGGGCCCCACAACAATGACTGGGCCTTGGCAGCTGCCCCTTTTGCCCTGTGTTAAAGACAGCCCTGGTCGTAAGCATTGATGGAGGAATCTGTTCTTTTTTTTTTTATTATTCAGCCCGCGGGTTGAACTAAAAAAATAGACGTGTATAACCAGCTTAACACCCACAATCCTCTGTTATTGTACACATATAACTGGAGCAGTCAAATGCACTTTTTACCTATTCCCCACCAGGGCACATGTAGCCATTCATGTTCATGAACAGTCATAGTGGGACAATGACATTGCCTATGTTAAAAAAAATCCATCACTGTTTATAAGTACCTTGAAATTCACTTTTTACTACAAAATTTGGCTAAAAGATAAAAGGCATCTCACTGAATAAAAAAAATCTTGTTTGTTGACAGAGCATAATGAAGTGACATTGCTTTTTTCATTAGTTTGGTCATGGCCAAAATTCATCCATATACAATGGAAATTCTGTAACTGTAGTTTTGTGGGCATAAATCCACAACTAGTGCAAATAAGCCTTGCGTGACATACATCATTTGCAAGAAATGTATAGTCTAAATTGAATGTTCTCACCGTGTAGTTTTTGTGTGTCTTCTAAAAAGCTCTAGAATCCTGCTCATATCAATAAAATCAGTATCTGTTATGATAAATAGTTGCCGCGGATAACCTCGATGCACAGGAAGTTCCATGATCCGACCCAGCACAGAAAGCAGGTTACTGGTTGTCCCACACAACTTATTACTTTGGATGAAATCACATGCCAGTTCCAATGTGTCCTATTAACAACACAACATTTAGAATCTGAAATACTGGTGCCAATTTTGGAGAACAGAAGAGGATGGACCTAATTATACAGCATTTTGTAAATTCATTAATGTCAACAAAAAAAAAGAAGGTCTATGCTGGAATCACATGGATGCCGGACTGAAATGATCCTATAGGTCAATCAAATGCCTATTGTCCAACATTAAGAAGTTTGTAACAGATGTTACGGTTGGTAGGTAGTTTGAGAAGCGTTCAGATACCAGCTTAAAGACCTGATACTGTGCATTAAATGTCCTCTCAGTAAACTACACAGGGATGTTGGGTACAGGAAGTGGACTATACCACTTACAATTTTATGTGCATCTTGTTGCTGCATTGGCTGCTCAAGATTCTTTATAACCACACAGTCCTGGTAACACAGTCCTCCAGACAGCCACTCTATTGCCCTCCAAACACACTTCAGCCACTAGATAAAGGCCACTATAGTGTTTGATAAGCGACTCCATAAATTTATTTGATGTCCTGACAGCCCACCAGTAGCCTGCTGAATGTTGCCAGCAACTATCTTAAACCACATTCCAATGCTCTGCTACTCAACCACAAGCACCCAAGCAAAGTGGTGAATTTTCACACTTACCGTTTGCTTACTTACTGTTTGAAAGGAATTCAGACACTGAAAATGTTTCACTGCCCTTGTGAAACCAGTCTTAGAATAAATAACAATTAAAATGTATTTTAACAGTAGACATTGGTTGGGGTCACTGTGGAGTTCTACTACTTTGGTCATTCAGCAATATCCAAGGGGGCTGCCTGCCAATGAGTACATTCTGCTCTTGCCATCTTTCTCAGCCTCAGGACAAACTTAGGCACACCTCCAAGCTAACACTTTTATTGTTTTGGTATGGTATTGATATGGTGGTGTATTATAATGCATCTGTTAAGTGCAATAGAGAGGGTCACCGGGACTGAGTTCAGGATAGGAAAACTAGAAAGTGTGTTAGGAAAACTGTAAAGCATGATATGTTCAGGAATTCTTTTTTTTGTAGTACCACGAATCCCTTGAACTCTCCCCTCCTTCCCTTACTCACATTAGTGCATTGCCTGCTGGCTGGAAATAGGGCTCTGTTGTCACCTGTGCCACCTGCTATGTTCAGCAAAATGCGTGCTGGCAAACTCCTCACTGCCAGTAGAAGTGAAACCTACAACAAAAGAGAGACAAAAAGGCTTAGGAAAAGAGTGGGCTGGGAAAAGATGAAAGTGTGTCTGGAAACACCATGAAACAATAAAACAATGTTAAGGAGATTATGCTTTATGGCAGCATGAACGTTGGGGGAGCAGCACATAATCAACCATTATGTGAAATGATTTTGGAAGCTTTATCCTAATTTAAATAAGGCAGTGCCAGGATCAGCATAGTTGTGAAAAATAGAGGTAACCCACAGCAACCATATCAGAGACACTAGAAGGTGCAACTACCAATGGTTCCAAGAAAGCGTGACAACTAGTGGACATAATATACCCTCCAATTAAATTACACTACAAAAATTATGTTTTCAATTCCCGCAGTACATTATTAAAGCAGAATTCTCAGCAAATGTGTTCTTTACACACTGGCTTCAGGGACCAGAGTAGCTGCCAGCTGGCTCTGCAGTTCTAGAGAGTATAACCTTTTATTTTTATTTTTTTTAGCACCTAGAAACAAACTAACCCTTGTAGTGGAGCTACCCTCATAGCATATGGGCTAAGAACAATTCTGCCCGGGGTTCTGATTTAGGTTTAATAGATCTATAGTGCTGAAAAAAAACTCCATTACCACATACAATATGTGTAGAAATGAGGACAATTTATGGAGCAACGGCCCACGATGAAAACCACCCCTCCACATTACTTAATTTAGGAATTCACGGTGAACTTATGTTTTCAAAAGAAGTAATGCAAAATGATTGAATAAAACAATCGATCTGAGATATGAACTTGTCACTGAAACCGGGGAAAGTAGAAGTAACACATCTAGTAATGCACAGCAATGAATTGCTGCAAAAAATGCCTTTCAGTTGTTATACAGGTCGTGTATGAAAGCTGCGCAGTTGAAACGTTACTGACAACATTGTTTGAGAGGTTGTAAAAATGATATTTGAACACTTCAGGTGGCTATGTCCTGTGGTGATGACCTGCTGGAATAGAGATTATTTTTATTTATTGGCTGCTTAATTGTGCTCTTCCATGAGAGCCAATAATTTCACTTTTACTAATATTACCTTATCATTTGAAGAATCTACTGAAAATGTGTTATATATTGTAAAGCTACATGCAAAAAAATATGGGCTGATTATTTATTGATTGCTCTTTTTTTCATTAGTGGCAAGATGTTGCGAGAGTGATGACCTTTCTCCACCTCCAAGCTGCCAGGGTGCAGAGACAAACCTACAGAAAGCAGATTTAAACCCCAACTTCAATAACATAGTTTGGCTCATACCTGAACATTGCGAGATGGCTCTCCCATCAAATGGACAACAAAAATGACTTCACGGGTAACAGAGGGGAGGTCAGAGCTCAGGGTACTGAGGGCAGCAAGGTCAGGACAGAAGTTCAGCATAAGGACTGGATTGAAGTTAAGATCTTTGTGAAAACGCCTTCGTACAAAGTTAACCTATTGGAAAGAAGAAATTTTTTTTTTTTTTCCAACCATAACAGGTATCTTCACCCAGCCAGAAAAATATGTTCTAGTTTTCAAATAGTTTGTTCTGTGGTAACATGACGGCCCTGTACAGTATTACCTCGGTTCACGAACCGAACCTCTGTGCGAACAATTTGGTTCGCGAACAGGAAGTTCGTCAAAATTTTGCTTCCGTTTGCGAACTCCAAATCAGGTGACGAACACGACCATCTTCCCCGCTCTGACACGTGGTCGTGGCTTTCTCTAGTCGAGATCGCGGTCGCAGACAGACCTGTGCACACTTGCTGTGAAGCTTTTTTGTGTGCTTTTTGTACAGTACTGTACAGTATTATTCAAACCAGCATGGCTCCAAAGAAAGTGCAGAGCAAGCATGGTGGTAAAAAGAAAGTGCAGAGCGGTAGTGAAGGTGACAAAAATGTGCAGAGCGCCTTAAGGAAGGTTAGTATTCACTCTATTCATACTGTACTGTACTTTGTTTCATATTTTTGTGGTTAAAAAAAATAAAAACATTTACATATCATATGGTTCAGAACGGATTAACCTTATGGGAAAATTTGATTCTGTTCGCAACCAAAATCGGTTCGCGACCACATTCGTAGGGGTCAGAACGGATTAACCTTATTTACATTGATCCTTATGGGGAAATTTGATTTGTTTCATGACAAATTCGGTTCGTGACCAGAATCGTGGAACCAATTAAGTTCGTAAAACGAGGTACCACTGTACCTCCTAGTGGCAATCCCAGGGATGCAAACTGGATCTGCTTCCACCTAACCAACCACTTACGATCTGCAACTCCCCTCTGCCAATCCCTCCACTGGCTTCCAATTGCCCAAAGGAAAAAAATTCAAAATATTCACAACCACTTACAAAGCCATCCACAACTTTGCCCCCGGCTAGATCTCCAGCCTCGTCTCAAAGTATCACCCTAACCGTCCCCTCCGCTCCTTTCAAGACCTATTGCTCTCTAGCTTTCTCGTCAACTCCTCCCATGCTAACCTCCAGGACATTTCTAGAGTCCCCTCCATCCCCTACTCCAACATGTCTGGCTATCTACTACTCTGCCTGCCTTAAGACGATCCCTGAAGACTCATCTCTTCAGGAAAGCCTATCCCTCATCAACCTAGCCGTTGAAATATTACTCTCAAACAACTCATTCCCACACGGCTACCACCTTTTGTATCAATCACCCCTCCCTTTTAGATTGTAAGCTCTCAATAACAGGGTCCTCCTAGCCATCCTGTCTTGTTTTATATTGAAACTGTAATGTCTTCCTTATATTGTAATGGGCTGCACAAACTGTTGGTGCTGACAGTATCACCAAATATTTATCAGTAACAAACAATTAAAAAAATCCCAGACTATTTTTACAACACCTATGTGAAAAAAACAACACCGATATTTAAATGTCATCTTTGTTGTAACACACACTTTGAATCAGCTTTCCTTTAGTCATTGTTTAGCACTTTAAATGGGATATGGCAACCAAAATACACCCACCTGTCTTTCGATGTCACTTGATTTCTTCATGCCTTTGATAAAATCTTTCCTTTCTTTTATGTGTGCCTCATACTGGGAAAAACTCTTGGTGCCTCTCTCCAAACAAAGGTGAGGAAGATGGGGTTCTGCAAATTGATTTTTTTTTTAAATCTAAGAGCATTTCAGTATTCCAGTTTCAAAGCCGTTTCATTATAGAAGTGTTGGAAGAGATACAATAGCTTTCGTAATGTAAACCTAGCATCAGATTTCTTTTTATATTTGAAGTGTGTGCATGCCAAGTAATGTGTAAGTGTTACGCTAACAAGTATTTCCGAGATCTCAAAGAATCACAGTACTCATTCTGACAATACTTTCATCAGTTTTTCTTTCTAGAAGGCAAACGCTATCTTTGTTCAGGCTTGATTCAGGTTCTGTAGCTGATTTCTGAACTAAAAGGTTTACCCACAGAATCATAATCATGTTAGTTATTGTGAGTGAACAGAAATCTTTATATTCTAAGCTTTGTAAACACGCCTACTCACATGGATTAACAACACCAGGCTTCTGCCACAGTGTATAGTCTAAGTCAGGGGGTAGCAAACCTCTGGCCTGCCAGCTGTGGTGAAACTACAAATCCCGTGATGCATCTCTCTTCGGGAGTCATGTCTGTGGCTGTGAGAAGCTTGCAATGCCTCATGGGATTTGTAGTTCCACCACAGCTGGAGGTTGTTTGCTACCCCTGGTCTAAGTGATCAACAGGGGGGGGGGGCACAGAGATATGCTTCTCCAGCAAACTGACGACATGATTCTCCCATATTCCTTCTTTTAGAGAGATACTGAGAGAGTTGTGCTTAGGCAGAGTCACTCAGTTACTGAAAGGGCATCTTTAAAAACATATTACTATATTTAAAGCCCCAATAAACCTTCAGTTAAAAACACCAACATACGGGGCGTGTCCTGGACATGGCGGAGTGAACACGCATCTTCTCTCTGCTCTCCCGATCCGCTCCACCACCGGGACATTACACAGCACCTACGGACCCTAAAAATGAACAGGACGAGGCAGAAGAAGGCACCAGACACCCTGGACCCCAGACATCGGGTAAACTTAAAAACGTTTTCTCCCCGAACGCTCCGATGATCGCGGGGGTAGGCCCCGGAAAAGCCGCGGCCTCGGGTAAAGGCGCACAGCCGCCGCTGCACACGATGCTCGCGCCCGATTCCCCATCCAGCCCCAATCTCTCTCCTCCATCCTCCCCAGCCCAGGGACCTA